AGCCTGGCCCTCCATTCACATCAAGCAATGACAAAATGTTATCCTCTGTTTTCTGTGAATGCAGTCTCAGCTTTTACGTCTGTTGGTACATGAAGGTACCCACTGTGTTTCCGTCACGTCATTCGCGAAGGGAATATGGCGGTGCATAAAGTGCTCTCTTCCCCACTCGAGTGGAACAGTGTTTATATGTAAACTAGTGGTTTGTTTTCGCTGGCAGAAAGACAAAGCATAAAGTAATAAATGTGACTTAAGTCTCTTGTCTCTCGGTGGCCCCTGAGACTGGAGTCTCTCGGCTGCGATAACCACCCCAGCCCAGCCCAGCAGGGCTCTGCCACAAGGAGACGGAGCCCAAGCGGACCCTGCTCTGGGCTCTCTGCAGTTACAGCAGAGGCTGTTGAGGTGCTGCTGAGTGCCAGTGGGTCCCTGGGGCCTCCTGTGCAATTATCCTTACTCTGAGCTAGTACGGGAAAACCTTTTCCTTCTGAACATAAATTAGCTCTGAATGTATGAGAATGCAGTGGAGCCTGCCTTTTTAAACCTGTCTCAGGCTGGGAATACCAAAGTGGCTGTGACATGTCGAATCCTCATAAGAGGCTCGGAAAACCATTAAACTGCTGTTTTATCCAGCTCTTTCTTTCTTAGAGTTACGAAGGGATGAGAAGAGTTTCACGGCACAGTCAGTACTGCTGTTCTGCTGTGGCACGTGCAGTTGATTTTAATAGCATACCTCTGATGCTGCTGGACTTTTATAGGGATCATGTGAAACAAAACAGTGACTGAGTTAAAATCAGGGGTGAGGTCACTGCATGGCCTCTGCTTCCTACAGCCTGGGGTGAGGTCACTGCATGGCCTCTGCTTCCTCCAGCACCTTTTGGTTTCAGGTAGTGGGGAAGACAAGGGCTCCTCGCCCTCAGGTGGGAAGTGAGGATGTGCAGGGGCTGTGCATGTAAAATGTTTTGATTTCCAGGGGAGGGAAAGGTACCTGTGTGTCAGGATGGGATCCCCAGGGATGGAACAGTCCTTGTTAGATGCACCAGTCTTGCGGCCACTTGCCAGTCTCTCACGGGTTTTATAAATAGCTTTCAAGAAGTGAGCAGGAGGTGTTGAGTTTCTAGCTCTACAATGAGGGCATGTGCTATAGCTGTTGGTGCAGGGTTCAGACAGCAAAATTATTACCAAAGGCTCAGTTATAGAAAATGCTAACAGACCTGAAGGGCTACCAGCGCTTCTCTCCAGAAGGGATTCCCTCCCTCTGCGTGCATGCTGCAGGGTGCACAGGCCGTGAATTTGGTGTGTTGACTTAGCCTTGGGTAGTATGAGTGTTTTGCTGTGGTCTCTTATTTCTGTTGCTTAAGCAACCTTTGCACCTAGTGCTGCATATCACTGTGCACTGAAGTCTGAGCACCTGGCAGAGGTGAGAAAAGCACAGAGTGAAATGGAAATATGTATCGATTCTGCTGTTCAGCTGGGAACGGTTACTGTAGAAGTTAGAGTGCTCTCAAACACATTAACATTGCATTTGTGTTTCACAGGGAAGAGGAAGCTATTTGTCAAATTGCTGATCATGAAAATGCATTTTGAATGTTCTGCTTTCAGCGTTGCATTTCTTTTTAAGAGCACTAATTAAACTGCACCCTTTCATTCTTCTAATTTCTCCCATAGCCCCCCCATGGCACTTTACTGGCCTCTGTGTAAGGATGTAGATTTTGTTGTAATGTGGTGAATGACCGGCTCGTAAGTCATGTGCTGGATTTAGTTAGGATGTAATCTTTTGGCCATCTGCTCAGGCACTCCCTGTGCCTGCATCCCTCTGATTTGCAAGCCAATGTTAAAGGTGATCTCGAATCTGCAGATGTTTAGAACACCCAGGTTCCCTTTAACTGAGTACAAGCGTGTTCCTGCCTAGGAGGTTTGAGCAATGTGTTGTCTGAACATCGCAGTAATTTGGCATGCTCAATTTTAATTCTCTGGCTGGTGTATGGGGCACCTAGTCAGGAAAAAATTATCCTTCAGACTGATTGAAAAATAAGTGGATAGCAAGAAATTCTCTGTAGAACTGAGTTTAAGAATACTCAGATATATGTTCTGCTGTTGTTTTTCCACCCTTCCACAATGATTCTGGACCTTTTTTGCAATCTCTGGCTTGTATTTTCCTTTCCTAGTCTTTAGGAGTCTGTCTGACTCCAGCCTTTTGTAACTGACAGCTGTAGAGCCTCTGGAATCCTGTAGTGCCTTTTTTTTTTAAGTTGCAGGCAAGACTTCAACTTAATTTTTTTATTTTCTCCTTATTTAGAGTAACATCAAAATGGTGAGAGATTCCCAGAGAGAAAAATCTCTGGATGAATTGAATGTTTACATCAATTTTCGTTGCTTTTGTATCTGTCTGTCTAATTTGCATCCAGTTATTTCAGTGCAACCCATCTGCTTTCTAATAGCTCTTTGAACTGAGGTGCAGTAGCTGTGTCTCTGATACGCTCAAGTCTTTTTTAGTAATTAAACGAATATTCACTTGCACAGTGAGAGCAGGTGCATCTCTGTGCGTCTGTATTGTGCAGTGCTCGCACATGGCAGTGCAAAGCGCTGGGTCTCACTTTCCTTTCTAATTTTCTATTGTTTTCATTCCCTCCCTGGGGTCTTTCCCATACAGTGTTGCAGTGGCGTAGGAGGATTATGGTTCAGTGTAGTTCAGTGTTTGTCTCTGAATGGCTGGACTTTCTGTGCTGCCCAGTTTGCCGAGAGAAGCCATTTGAAACTGAATAGAATTTAACATTTCCAGATAGTTTAAAAATGGGTCTTCCCCAGAGCCCAGAATTGCCTGTGGGATGGATGGGCGTGAGTCAGGAAATCTCTGATCAAGACCTTTGACTTACTTTGTCTTCAGGTTTTTACTTCCTGGCGATGCAGAAGCAACTGTATCTGTAAAACTTGGTGTTGCTGAGTGCTCTAGAGAATGGTTTCCTTTTATGATACAGATTTTATTTTCTAAAATGTAGTTTCACATGGCTTGATTTCAGCCTGCTGTCCCCCTGCCCCTGGAGTAGCAATGAGTCTTCAGCCTGTGTTGCAACACTGAGTAATTAACTGTTAATGTGTCAGGCTTCTTCATGACTTCGTTATTCCTTTGTGTCCTTTCTTGAGCACGTGGCATAGAGGACCTCTAAGGAGACAGAACGAGCAGGTGTGGGTACAAAAGTTTCCCTAGGGAAGTTAACCTTATTGTGCCTTTCCAAAGCTGTGGTCCTTCGGCAGTGGCATGGTGCATGCTGTTTGGCGCATTGCACCTGACCCGTGAATTCCCTGGGCTGACAAACAGGCTGAGTCTTGGCAGCGTCTAATGGTTCTTTCCAGCTCTGAGCTCCCGGACACTCACCCTGTTGTGTGGGGAACCCTGCGGTCTCACGGCCAGTCCTGATCCTGAGATGTTGTGGGAGCTGCACCTTCGCAATGGTTTTTACACACCCCTAGGAAGTGCTTTCCAGTGGACTAACAAAATAAAAACATGTCCAAGTCACTTTTCATGGGAACTTTTTGGACATGCTGTGTAAACTTGAAGATAGAGCAAAAGATTACTGGTGAGATGAGACTCCCGGGTTTGTGATCCCGCTCTTACAAGCTCTGCTTCTGCAACTAAAGTTGTAATTTATTACACGCAGGTTGCCTAGGGGCATTGGGGTTCATTCCTGGTAGATACTCGAGATACAAGACTTTTTTATGTGGGTCTGTAGCAGGCTTGTGATCTTCGTTTAGCCTTGCTGCTGCCCCAGGATATCCCTGTTGCTGCAAGCCCTGGGACAGCTCTTCCTGAAGCCCCACATGGGCACTCTTTTCAGCAGGGTTTGCTGCCTTTCATCAAATGAACCTCTTAATATTTAGAGGTTAAGACCACAATGTACAGACAGCATCTGTCTCTTAGTTTGCATATCACTTGCTGCAGAGGCAGTGTCTTGTCTCTGTGTCTAGGAGCCATTGGCCCACTCTGGCTGCTTTTTTGACAAATAATATCAAATTCCCACACTGGGGTTGCCTCTGCTTCCCTGCTAATGGCAGTGGAGCTTGTTACGGACAGAGAGAGAGACCAACTGAAGCTTACTGTGCGTCCCCTGCCCTCTTTCTCCTTTTTTCCTTCCCTCAAGCACATGCACTTGTTTCTTTGTCTCCTGCCTCTTGCAAAGGGGGGGAGAGGGGAGGATCAGACATAAGCTGGTGTCTGCCCGCTCCAGGGCAGTATTTCATGAAATGCCTGCTTTTGTGTGGTATCCAAAGGCACCTAGAAAGTGGGTAGGTTGCCCTGCCTGTTTCTCAGTGGTTAAATAAACTGATTGATTTGGAGATTAAAAAGGAATCTGCATCTTTAGTCAGCAGGAACACTGGCTCCCGCCATTATATGTTTTGCTTGCACCATTAGGTTTAGCATCAGGAATGCTTCAGGCCCTGAACCTGGGAAAAAATGAACCTGTTTATTTTGGGCCTAAAGGCTTGTGGGCCTTGGCAGTCTAGGTAAAAGCTACAGCTTTCCTAACTTCTGTTTGAGACGCCTCTGGCTCATACTGTACCTGGTACAGCATTTCCTTCATGCAAACACCTGCCTGGACTGTAAATGCTTGCAAAGGAGAATTTCTCAAATAGTAAGGGTGTTCTCCAGCATCACACTCCGTTGCAGCTCAGTGCATGTAACTGTGTAAGGGCTATTTGTATTTTTATTTTTTAATGTTCTTTTCTAGAACATTAATCTTGTAAGTTAGACTCTGTGAGCCTTAGTAAGTGTTGGGTGCTCTGTTTTCTGGGGGAAACTTCACTTACACCAGCTTTTAAATCTTTTTGTTCTCAGGTGTGTCTTGCTTCCTAGCTTGTTAAATATGTTTTCTTCTCAGTGTTAGTTTTCCACTGGGAAAACTAGCTGGAGCCTAGAGATGTCTTCTCTTAGTGCTTACACTTAGCAATAGCAGTGAGGATATGAGCTTGCAAAAGAGAAATGTAAACAAAATCTCCCCTAGGTAGACATGGACCTTTCTCCATCCAGTGAGATAAGAGCCAGGGCTGTTTTATGTTCTAACCATTGTTTTTGATAAATACTGTCCTGGAATTAAATTAACTGAGGAGAGCTCAGAGAAGTGACATTTGAGTTTAGACTGCTGCTTATTCAGCATAGCGGGTTAATTTGATTTACAGATGTCATACTATAGAGCTACTATTCAGGCTTGATTATTTGCAAGTTGTGGTCGAAAGTCTGCTCTGCACTGTTGAGGAAAGATTCTGTGTTTTTAAAGAAATGTTTATTTCTTCTAGAGTGTCTGTAACTGTGTAAGTGAGGTGGTATGAAATGACATCTTGCTAAGCAGCAATAACCTCTAGTTGCAAAGGACTGGTTTTGAAATTGCTTTGCATTAGCTGTATCATGCTGCTTTCCAAACATTAATCCTATGATTATTTTTTAAAGGCATCGATTTAGAGAGTTGAGGTGGGGTACAGAAAAGGTTTTGCCTCCAGAACTGTTAAACTGTTAAAATGAGTGAGGATTTCCAGCTACCAGGCCTCTACTGAGGGATGTTGTCCAATTAATGCGATGCCCTGTGACGCTCTGACTCAAATGAAACTGTAGCAGGACAAAATCACTAACAGTATCTTTTTTTTCTTTTCCTTTTTTCTCTTTACAGTAAAAAAAGCTAAACTCCAAGGACCACCAGGTAAGCCATGCTCTGCTACTTGTTTGCACCAATGGTGACACCTGCTCTCTCACTCCTGCTTGTGCTGCTCCCTCCAGTTTTCATCTACCTCCTTTTTGCTCCTCCATGTTCTCCTTAGGAGTGACAAAAGCTACCCCGAGAGTCCAGGCAGTCTGAGTTAGTAAAAAGCTTGAGGATGTGACCTGGTATCACAGTGCTGAGAAACCTCTATCTGCTCACCTCACCTGAACAGGTGATGGATGAGGAAAGATGTTCCTTTACTGTCACCAATTCCCGCCCCATCCTGCCCTTTCCTCTCGTCCTTCCTCTGTCCCTGTTAAAAACAGGATCTGAAAATGTCTGCCGAGCAGAACTGGTGTGTGCCTGTCTGGACTCAGTGCCTCCTTGATCCTGATCGGGGTTGCTGGATGGTACCGCAGAGTTGATTCATTCTCTTATGTGGCAGTCCGTAATGGCTGTGCTTGGGATTGAAATCCCATCTGCCAGGTTTTGTGTCTGCATAATAAAATAAAAACAAAGAGCTGGTGATACCCAGAATTTACAGTCTAGGCAACTATTTCACTGTGGTTCAGTACCTAGCAAGGAATCCCTTAGCAGGTAAATACATTTATTGAATGAAATTTGATGTACAGTTTACAAAAGAATAAGCAGTTTGCTTCTGGAATAACAGCTATTGAAGTATTTAGATCCGAAGCAATTGCACAGCTGTATTCATGACTTATTTGTTCAGCTTTATTCTCTTGATATAGCCATCCTCGGGTTATAGCTGAAAGCTTCCCAGGTCTCCTTGTCCATGCTCCATGTCATGTCGAGATCTGTGTGTGTCAAGATCTGTGCGTGTACCAACCTTGAATTTCCAGGGAAGGAAAGCTGAGTGCCCAGACTGGAAGGGAGACTATGTGTATTTTATCCTTTCTCTAATCAAGAAGCCTGCTTACGGCTGCAAAATATTTGTCCTGTAGTCTAGATTTAACTCAACTCAAGCATATGGTTTCACTGACAAGCCCAGTGTCCCAGGAGGATGCAAGTGGTGTAGGTAGATATGAGGGAATCTGACTTTCAGTGACTTCTTCCTGAGCTTCTGGATCATGTAGTTTCCCTTTCCTCCCTTTCTGTTAGGATATTTGAAGCTTGATGCTGGGACATGCTGTAGTAGCCCACAGCAATGATGCATGTGAATTTTGGTGGTATTAAAATGGACTGTGATCTAACTTACTAGCAATGCAGCAGAACACTGAAGTATTAAAATATGTACACTGCTTTCTAGCTACTTAGCATATGTCTTGTTCCAGGCTTGATGAAACTGATAGATAGGTCTGAGGTGGTAACTTACCTTGAAAGGGAGTTTGATCATTCTGAGGTGCTGATATTCAGACTTTATATGCGTCTGTGCTTGGCTGGTTTTGGTTTTATTAATAAAGAAATAGCAGCACCTAGGAAAAAAGTTGTTCCAGGCTTTTTCTTCAAAGTTAAAATAAAAAGCAAAACATCTAAACAAAGCCTGTCTTGTCAAAATGTGAGTGTAACGTGATTCTTCTAGGTCAGCTGGTTTAAGCAATACAGATCAGTTTTAGCACATTTAGCATGAATCACTGTATTTTCCTTCTGACTCTGACTGGTTCATAAAGTTCTTTGTGGACTCAGTGGTGGAAAACCAGGTTGGAACTAGGAGAGCAGTTGGGTCAGAAGGGAAGGGATGATATGGTCAGCTCAACTGCTTCTTGCTTGTATGTTTTGCAAGTTTGTTTTTCGCTCTGCGTTGTCTGCACAACAGCCTCTATTCCTTCAGACTGTCTCTTCTTCCTCTCGTCTGCATTTCAGTAAGCAGCATCTTACACACGAAGTGTCTGTGTTCTTCAGGATTTTACACTTTCTTCATCCCTGACTTACTGCAAGTGCTTAGTTGCCTGTTTTTGTTTGTTTGTGCATGAATTTCTAAAAAACTGTGATTGAAAACTTGATGGCAGGTGAAAAACATCTTGAACATTTGGCTCCTTAACCCAGTGATGTCTTCCCATATGGACTTTTCGTTATGGGTCCCCCTGGGATGCAATGTATGGAATGAAAACCTTGAAACGTGCTTTTGTGATGAAAGGGTATAGGGAAGGAGATAACTTTTTGCCTCTCGTTCCCCAGATAAATTCAATACGTATGTGACCCTGAAAGTGCAAAATGTGAAGAGCACGACGGTAGCCGTGCGAGGTGACGAACCCTGCTGGGAACAGGACTTCATGTTGTAAGTACGGTGTTGCGCAGCAATGAGGTGCTTGTGGTTGAGTCCTTTCACAGCACTGACGTTTATATGGAGCTGCTATTGTGTTGTATAAATTGGAGTACTTAAGTAGGTAAAATACACAAGCCTGGTGACAACCTAAATCATTTGCTTTTCTGTTGTACACACTGACCTGTCCTGAAGGAGATGTGTGTTGGAAGATTGTCTCTGCTGGTGCCATGGACTGGCTGGAGTAGCCTGTGTTCTTTAACAGTACCGGGTTGCCTGGATTCCTGTTCTTCACTGCACCCTGACACACAGCTCTAAGGCCGGCGGCTCCCACAGGGATAGGGAGCCAGAAGCAGAGTGTGGTAGGATGGCTGGTAGGGCAGCGTCCTCTCCAGCCGAGGCCCAGTCCCACAGTACCTGAGCAGTGCAAGCAGGGCCTGCCTAAGGATCAGGCCAGTGTCTGCCGAGGGGTCAGGTCATCAGACAAGTTCGTAGTAATGAGGCAGGTGTGAGGTCAAGCTGGGAGTGCAAGTTAGCAAGTTAGGCTCAGGGATGTGTCTGGTAATGATAATCAGGGTCGGGCATAGTCCAGCAATTGCCGGTCAGGTCCATAGTGATGAGGCAAGTCTGAGGCTGGGCTGGGAAGTCAGTCTGTGGGTTGGGTCTGGATTGATGTAGTCCATGGCCAGGCATGGGCACAGCTGTGGCTAACCTGGAGACAAACACACTGTATTGGGTTTGCGTGGCAAGGTTTTGGTAGCATGGGGGCTAAAGGGGTGGCTTCTGTGAGAAGCTGCTAGAAGCTTCCCCTATGTCTGATGGAGCCAATGCCAGACAGCTCCAAGTTGGACCTGCTGCTGGCCAAGGCCGAGCCCATCAGTGACGGTGGTAGTGCCTCTGTGGTAACATATTTAAGAAGGGGGAAAAAGTTGTCATGCAACAGCAGTTGCAGCTGGAGAGGGGAGTGAGGATATGTGAGAGGAACAACTCTGCAGACACCAAGGTCAGTGAAGAAGGAGGGGGAGGAGGTGCGCCAGGCACCAGAACAGAGATTCCCCTGCAGCTCGTGGTGAAGAGCTTGGTGAGGCAGGCTGTCCCCCTGTAGCCCATGGAGGTCCATGGTGGAGCAGACATCTGCCCGTGAAGGACCCAGCGCTAGAGCAGGTGGATGCCCAAAGGAGGCTGTGACCCCGTGGGAAGCCCGTACTGGCGCAC